TGGCCAATCAAATGTGCTCTACTGGCTATTCTCCCCAGCTTTTTGCTCCCTCTCGCAGTCAAAGAGTCCAAGAAAAAGGACAAGATTCTTTTGATGTTGATATGGTGAATACTTTGTTATCTATATTTTTGGCAAAGGGAAAGTTGAGCTTGGCTTGCAAATTGTTTGAGATTTTCAGTGATGCAGGTGTGAGTTCAGTGAGTTATTCTTATAATTCTATCGTGAGTACTTTTGTCAAAAAGGGTTATTTCATTGAGGCTTGGGCTGTTGTGGCTGAAATGGGAGAAAAATTTTATCATACTGATATAGCTACATACAATATGATACTTCAAGGTTCAGGAAAGATGGGACAAGCTGATCTACCTAGTGTTGTTCTTGATCCTTCTTGAGGAGACTCGGTTGTAACATAAGTGTTGGGGATGGGATGAAATTCTAGCAGTATATGAAATTGGAATCTGTAATTTAGTTTTTGCATTATTTTAATTGTGCTGTGATCACAGCTGCTGTACTTCACGATCAATTTTGTTGTATTGTCTTGGCTTCTTAGCTGGCAAATGGCTACTCAATGTTATACATCCTCTGTTTTAAACCTAACTACCCAAAATTTTATGTCCTTGGAACAGTTTCGTTCTGATTCAATGTTTTAAAACACTTTATACTTGAAAGTACTTCTTTTAGAATAGATTGGGAGAATTTGATCTGTAAATTAAAGAAACACTATAAACCATCATTCTTTCTATTCAAATCGTTGCATCTATTTCCCCAATCTTTTCATGGGTTTTTGAGGTGTTGTCTACAAATTAAAGACGAATTATGATCATCATTGCTCCCTGCAACAATATTAAATTAAATGTGTATATTTGGTCTCGTATTCAGTGAAACCAAACACAAATTTTTTATCAACTGAAATTGTTGTGATAATATTTATTATTTTGTATTTAAAATATGAATTCGAAACTACAAACGTCAAACATATAAGAGGTTACATTGACGGTAAGAATAATAAGATTACTATGAATGCATTACTTGAAGAAATAAGATTACTATTGAATTAAACCACTTTTATTGTTGTACATATCCTTTTTCAGAAATAACCACATAGAACTGAGTAGGTAACCACTTATTGCACCTAAAAAATGTGATCATTGATATTGAATTAAACTACTTTTATTGTTGTATAGAACCACTTTTATTGTTGTACAAAACACCTTTCAGAAATAACCATATACGACTTAGTAAATAACCACTTACTGCACCAAAGAAATGTGGTTATTGGGATTGAATTAAACCACTTTTATTGTTGTACAAAACACCGTTCTAAAATAACCACTTAGGACTTAGTAGATAACCACTTACTGCACCAAAGAAATATGATCATTGGGATTGAATTAAACCACTTTTATTATTGTACAAATCACCTGAATAACCACATACGACTTAGTAGATAACCACTTACTGCACCAAAGAAATGTGGTCATTGGGATTGAATTAAACCACTTTTATTATTATACAAAACACCGTTCAGAAATAACCACATAGGACTCAGTAGATAACCACTTACTGCAACAAATAAATGTGGTCATTGAGATTGAATTAAACCACTTTAATTGTTGTACAAAACACCATTCTGAAATAACCACATAGGACTTAGGAGATAACCACTTACTACATCAAAGAAATGTGGTCATTGGGATTGAATTAAACCACTTTTATTGTTGTACAAAACACCGTTCTGAAATAACCACTTAGGACTTAGTAGATAACCACTTACTGCACCAAAAATTTTTATGAAATCTCACATAAAAAACCACAACTATTCTTGTTCATAAGCAATTGAGTATATAACCACATAAGCACCGCCAAAATGTGATCATTAGTATTGAAGTTGTACACCATTTTTTTCATTTGTACATAACTAGCTTATCAAATAACCACGAAACCCTTAAGCCATAACCACATACTGGACTAATACTTGTGAAATCCGTTTTTCACTCACTTGTGCCATATGTCTTTGATGTGTGCAGTGTGCTCATAATTATTTCCTTTAATCATTGTAATTCGTTATTAACCATTTTGTCAGTTGTAAATAACCACTGTAATACATAAGCACATAGTGAACAAGCTATAAGCAGTTACTGCAGGAATTTGTCAATTTTTTTTTATATCACATCAACATCATATAAAACTTAGAACATAACATACATTACATTACCACTTAATGCGACAACACATTCATGAAGTTGACTTTAGTACTTCACTAATTGTAGTACATAACAAAGTCGTGTAAACACGCACAATATTTGAAACTGACAACAACGATAAAAGTAAATTCAAATCAACAAATTATGAAAGTCCTCAATTTGTTCCACTTTTAATTATTCTTGCTTGCTCCACTGCCTTCAGGTTTGTCGTTGTGAACAGGTGGAATCAATTTGCTAAGGATGTCATCAACGGAACATGTTGGAAGCTTGTTGGTAATAATTGGTATTGATAGACATACTAGTTCATCAGTTGGGCGGCCAATATCACTTGCAAAAACCTGCACATACGGGGAGTACCATTCAAAAAGTGGTAAAAAAAGTTCAGAAAATATATAACACTACAATACAAAACAGTTCTAAACTTTACCTTAACAATATTCTTAAGAGTTATGTTAAGATAGTATGTTCCGCGCATTGGTGAAAAAATTGCAACCTGTTGAAACATTATTGGTTAACTACATATATTCTTGTGGGAATACAAGGTCAATAAGTTATTATTGATCAGAAAAAATATACTTACATCTTGTAGGATTATCACACTTCCAACTTTTAAGTGTGGACCTATTTTAAGATGATCAATGGCCTTGTGGTGAACACTTGCTTTTAGAGTCTCTGTTAGATACTGTGAAGAGGTACAGTTTGCACAAAAACAGTTCAATATGGTAGTTAAATTAAGTTAACATTTCACTATACCCATTAACAATATACAGAAATAACATCAAACATGACCAATCCTAGGAAAGAAAATATACATTCGGTGGAGATATTTTACAGGAAAGAAAATGATTATGTAGCATCTTTACTTTAAATAAAAATTATGCTATGTGCACTTGTGAACTTATAAACTACATGGCTTTGCAGCCCTTCAATTGCCACAACACACAACTCTCCAAACAATTACAGGTTCATAAATTCATCACATCAGATTGCATTGCAGAAAGCGATATTAGATTTCCGTGATTGTGAAAATTAGAGAAAATGACAAAAGCCAAAAATAAAAAAGAAAAATGGAAATGAGGAACACATACCAAAACAGAGAGAAGAGAGATTCGTAAAGGTGGATGCAATGGAGATGGACGCAAAGTTCATCTGAGAGTGCAAGGATAGATATATACACAATATGAAGAAGGATATAGCAATGGAGTCCACCAAATCAACTAAAAAAATGAAAACATCTAATTCAGGAATCCACCATTGAACAAAATAGGAAGAAAACAAAACAGAACTGATGAATAAGTAGCATAACTGATAGTGCTTCAAAATTTAAGTTAACCTAAATTCATAAAAACTATTTAGACAAAAATGATTGTGTATTCATAACCACCACCAAGTCAGATTCCCACCCACTTTTTGAGAGCACCACATGTTTGTAAAAATGCCATCACTTATCTTAGCTCAATGCTAAACACAACCACACAATAAAATATCAGTTATGCGTCTCTACCAAACTCCACCACACTGCCTTAAGTCACAAACTAACATCCTACAAACTCACACTATATGTAAGAACCCTTTCATTTCACCTTATGTGATCCCTCCACGCTGTCTCTCTTCCCATTATGCCTATCCTTCACCTGGATGACAAGAAATAAAAAAGAGAAATAAGAACAAAAAAATCCAATAACAATCAACAATATAGTGTTATCATTCAAATTGTCACTTAGCATTAGTTACTAAGAACTTTCACACCTGCAGAAAGTAGCACACCACTGAATATCCTGCCATACTTTCAATATTCTAAACACTTTTTACATGAAATAAGACTTCAACTAATGGAGAAAGCAACTTATATGATGATAACTAAAATGAGAGTGAAATGCAATAGAATAGGAAGTGGAGGTGTAGTATACCAGGCTTGAGTTGCTGCAGTTACCAAAGTGGGAAAAAACTAAAACACTTTTTCATTAATTATGAATAAATTATGAGAGCACCAATGTGTGAATAACATAGGGTTTTATGGTCAGAACAGAGAACATGGTTTTATGGTCAGAGAAATCACAACATTCACAACCACTCAATCAAATTATTCCAACTCTTCAAAAGGAGAATTCTTCAACCATCACCCTACTTATATTATTATTGTCACTGTTATCCCATTCTTTTATTCTCAAGCTAGTTGTTTCTCAGAAATTTGATTCACTACATCAGCTAGAATCATTAAAATGATATATAAATTATAAAAGTCAATGAAACCTACCCTTCACACACTTATTATCTTACCTTCTAGCACTGAACCTTCAGGAGCATCTTTATATGCTAATTTGCAGGCAGCTTCAATTCCTTCCAAAGCATATCTGAAAAAACCCACTAAAATGTCGTTATTTTCACTTTCGTTATAATTGATTTGAGATTCTCTACTTTTGCAAAAACCTTAATTACCGAACTCTCTTTCTTCCGAGGTTTCGCACTCACAATTCAGAGCTCGTCAACCTTGCCCCCATTAGTCTACGGTTTTCGAAAATCAAGGAAAAACAAAAGGAAAGATAGACAAATGTAGAGAAAAGAACAAAGGAAAAAGAAGCATACAACTTTCTTCCGATGATGACGTCCACCTCCGATGACGTCCACCCTCCGATTAAGTGGCACCCATGGAGTTTTGTGGATTCCGACAAGAAAAAAATTACAGCCACCTGATACAAGGATGTTCGTTTGTTTTTCTATGAACCCGATTGAAGTTTGTATAATGGTTGAGTGCGTGATGCTTTAAGAGAGAGAGGAACGTTGATACGCACGTTGAACATGTATGATGCAGGGGAACTCATCTTGCTCGCCAAGCACGTCAAAACCGTAGAATCCCTCCGCCGCTTCCACGCGCTCACGGTGACGTGCGGCCACTCAACCAACCTCTTCATTGCTGCAAAGCTCATCTCTCTCTATGACTCTCTCCAAAACGAACACGTTTCGTGTTCCACTCTCTTCCACTCTCTTCCCTCCAAAGACACCTTCGTCTACAACTCCTTCCTCAAATCCCTCTTCTCCCGTTCCCTCTTCCCCCACGCTCTCACCCTCTTCTCACACATGACACGCGTCTCCAACCTCTCTCCCAACCACTTCACTCTCCCCATCGTTGTCTCCGCCGCTGCGCACCTCTCGCTCCTCCCCCACGGCGCCTCGCTCCATGCCCTCTCCTTCAAAACCGGCCTCTTTCATTCTTCCTCCGCCTCCTTCGTGTCGTTTTACTCGCGCTGTGGTGAGATGGACCTTGCATGCAAGGTGTTTGATGAAATTCCTGTTCAGGATGTGGCTGCTTGGACTGCACTTATCATCGGCCACGTGCAGAATGGGGAGCCGGAGAAGGGTTTGAAGTGTCTACGTGACATGCATGAGGTTGGTGAGGATACTCAAAAGCCCAACGTTAGAACGTGGGAGGGCGGGTTTCTTGCGTGTGGAAATCTGGGAGCTGTGAGAGAAGGCGCTTGCTTGCATGGGGTGGTTATCAAACACGGGGTTGCTTCTTTTCTACAATCTTCCGTTTTGGCTATGTACTCCAAATGTGGGGTCCCTCGAGAAGCGTATCGAGCATTTTTTGAGGCGACTCACAAAGATCTTTTGTCTTGGACATCCATCATCGGGGTTTGTGCGAGGTTTGGGATGATGGAGGAGTGTGTGAAGTTGTATAGAGAAATGCAGGAAAACGAAANTACTTCTTTTAGAATAGATTGAGAGAATTTGATCTGTAAATTAAAGAAACACTATAAACCATCATTCTTTCTATTCAAATCGTTGCATCTATTTCCCCAATCTTTTCATGGGTTTTTGAGGTGTTGTCTACAAATTAAAGACGAATTATGATCATCATTGCTCCCTGCAACAATATTAAATTAAATGTGTATATTTGGTCTCGTATTCAGTGAAACCAAACACAAATTTTTTATCAACTGAAATTGTTGTGATAATATTTATTATTTTGTATTTAAAATATGAATTCGAAACTACAAACGTCAAACATATAAGAGGTTACATTGACGGTAAGAATAATAAGATTACTATGAATGCATTACTTGAAGAAATAAGATTACTATTGAATTAAACCACTTTTATTGTTGTACATATCCTTTTTCAGAAATAACCACATAGAACTGAGTAGGTAACCACTTATTGCACCTAAAAAATGTGATCATTGATATTGAATTAAACTACTTTTATTGTTGTATAGAACCACTTTTATTGTTGTACAAAACACCTTTCAGAAATAACCATATACGACTTAGTAAATAACCACTTACTGCACCAAAGAAATGTGGTTATTGGGATTGAATTAAACCACTTTTATTGTTGTACAAAACACCGTTCTAAAATAACCACTTAGGACTTAGTAGATAACCACTTACTGCACCAAAGAAATATGATCATTGGGATTGAATTAAACCACTTTTATTATTGTACAAATCACCTGAATAACCACATACGACTTAGTAGATAACCACTTACTGCACCAAAGAAATGTGGTCATTGGGATTGAATTAAACCACTTTTATTATTATACAAAACACCGTTCAGAAATAACCACATAGGACTCAGTAGATAACCACTTACTGCAACAAATAAATGTGGTCATTGAGATTGAATTAAACCACTTTAATTGTTGTACAAAACACCATTCTGAAATAACCACATAGGACTTAGGAGATAACCACTTACTACATCAAAGAAATGTGGTCATTGGGATTGAATTAAACCACTTTTATTGTTGTACAAAACACCGTTCTGAAATAACCACTTAGGACTTAGTAGATAACCACTTACTGCACCAAAAATTTTTATGAAATCTCACATAAAAAACCACAACTATTCTTGTTCATAAGCAATTGAGTATATAACCACATAAGCACCGCCAAAATGTGATCATTAGTATTGAAGTTGTACACCATTTTTTTCATTTGTACATAACTAGCTTATCAAATAACCACGAAACCCTTAAGCCATAACCACATACTGGACTAATACTTGTGAAATCCGTTTTTCACTCACTTGTGCCATATGTCTTTGATGTGTGCAGTGTGCTCATAATTATTTCCTTTAATCATTGTAATTCGTTATTAACCATTTTGTCAGTTGTAAATAACCACTGTAATACATAAGCACATAGTGAACAAGCTATAAGCAGTTACTGCAGGAATTTGTCAATTTTTTTTTATATCACATCAACATCATATAAAACTTAGAACATAACATACATTACATTACCACTTAATGCGACAACACATTCATGAAGTTGACTTTAGTACTTCACTAATTGTAATACATAACAAAGTCGTGTAAACACGCACAATATTTGAAACTGACAACAACGATAAAAGTAAATTCAAATCAACAAATTATGAAAGTCCTCAATTTGTTCCACTTTTAATTATTCTTGCTTGCTCCACTGCCTTCAGGTTTGTCGTTGTGAACAGGTGGAATCAATTTGCTAAGGATGTCATCAACGGAACATGTTGGAAGCTTGTTGGTAATAATTGGTATTGATAGACATACTAGTTCATCAGTTGGGCGGCCAATATCACTTGCAAAAACCTGCACATACGGGGAGTACCATTCAAAAAGTGGTAAAAAAAGTTCAGAAAATATATAACACTACAATACAAAACAGTTCTAAACTTTACCTTAACAATATTCTTAAGAGTTATGTTAAGATAGTATGTTCCGCGCATTGGTGAAAAAATTGCAACCTGTTGAAACATTATTGGTTAACTACATATATTCTTGTGGGAATACAAGGTCAATAAGTAATTATTGATCACAAAAAATATACTTACATCTTGTAGGATTATCACACTTCCAACTTTTAAGTGTGGACCTATTTTAAGATGATCAATGGCCTTGTGGTGAACACTTGCTTTTAGAGTCTCTGTTAGATACTGTGAAGAGGTACAGTTTGCACAAAAACAGTTCAATATGGTAGTTAAATTAAGTTAACATTTCACTATACCCATTAACAATATACAGAAATAACATCAAACATGACCAATCCTAGGAAAGAAAATATACATTCGGTGGAGATATTTTACAGGAAAGAAAATGATTATGTAGCATCTTTACTTTAAATAAAAATTATGCTATGTGCACTTGTGAACTTATAAACTACATGGCTTTGCAGCCCTTCAATTGCCACAACACACAACTCTCCAAACAATTACAGGTTCATAAATTCATCACATCAGATTGCATTGCAGAAAGCGATATTAGATTTCCGTGATTGTGAAAATTAGAGAAAATGACAAAAGCCAAAAATAAAAAAGAAAAATGGAAATGAGGAACACATACCAAAACAGAGAGAAGAGAGATTCGTAAAGGTGGATGCAATGGAGATGGACGCAAAGTTCATCTGAGAGTGCAAGGATAGATATATACACAATATGAAGAAGGATATAGCAATGGAGTCCACCAAATCAACTAAAAAAATGAAAACATCTAATTCAGGAATCCACCATTGAACAAAATAGGAAGAAAACAAAACAGAACTGATGAATAAGTAGCATAACTGATAGTGCTTCAAAATTTAAGTTAACCTAAATTCATAAAAACTATTTAGACAAAAATGATTGTGTATTCATAACCACCACCAAGTCAGATTCCCACCCACTTTTTGAGAGCACCACATGTTTGTAAAAATGCCATCACTTATCTTAGCTCAATGCTAAACACAACCACACAATAAAATATCAGTTATGCGTCTCTACCAAACTCCACCACACTGCCTTAAGTCACAAACTAACATCCTACAAACTCACACTATATGTAAGAACCCTTTCATTTCACCTTATGTGATCCCTCCACGCTGTCTCTCTTCCCATTATGCCTATCCTTCACCTGGATGACAAGAAATAAAAAAGAGAAATAAGAACAAAAAAATCCAATAACAATCAACAGTATAGTGTTATCATTCAAATTGTCACTTAGCATTAGTTACTAAGAACTTTCACACCTGCAGAAAGTAGCACACCACTGAATATCCTGCCATACTTTCAATATTCTAAACACTTTTTACATGAAATAAGACTTCAACTAATGGAGAAAGCAACTTATATGATGATAACTAAAATGAGAGTGAAATGCAATAGAATAGGAAGTGGAGGTGTAGTATACCAGGCTTGAGTTGCTGCAGTTACCAAAGTGGGAAAAAACTAAAACACTTTTTCATTAATTATGAATAAATTATGAGAGCACCAATGTGTGAATAACATAGGGTTTTATGGTCAGAACAGAGAACATGGTTTTATGGTCAGAGAAATCACAACATTCACAACCACTCAATCAAATTATTCCAACTCTTCAAAAGGAGAATTCTTCAACCATCACCCTACTTATATTATTATTGTCACTGTTATCCCATTCTTTTATTCTCAAGCTAGTTGTTTCTCAGAAATTTGATTCACTACATCAGCTAGAATCATTAAAATGATATATAAATTATAAAAGTCAATGAAACCTACACTTCACAAACTTATTATCTTACCTTCTAGCACTGAACCTTCAGGAGCATCTTTATATGCTAATTTGCAGGCAGCTTCAATTCCTTCCAAAGCATATCTGAAAAAACCCACTAAAATGTCGTTATTTTCACTTTCGTTATAATTGATTTGAGATTCTCTACTTTTGCAAAAACCTTAATTACCGAACTCTCTTTCTTCCGAGGTTTCGCACTCACAATTCAGAGCTCGTCAACCTTGCCCCCATTAGTCTACGGTTTTCGAAAATCAAGGAAAAACAAAAGGAAAGATAGACAAATGTAGAGAAAAGAACAAAGGAAAAAGAAGCATACAACTTTCTTCCGATGATGACGTCCACCTCCGATGACGTCCACCCTCCGATTAAGTGGCACCCATGGAGTTTTGTGGATTCCGACAAGAAAAAAATTACAGCCACCTGATACAAGGATGTTCGTTTGTTTTTCTATGAACCCGATTGAAGTTTGTATAATGGTTGAGTGCGTGATGCTTTAAGAGAGAGAGGAACGTTGATACGCACGTTGAACATGTATGATGCAGGGGAACTCATCTTGCTCGCCAAGCACGTCAAAACCGTAGAATCCCTCCGCCGCTTCCACGCGCTCACGGTGACGTGCGGCCACTCAACCAACCTCTTCATTGCTGCAAAGCTCATCTCTCTCTATGACTCTCTCCAAAACGAACACGTTTCGTGTTCCACTCTCTTCCACTCTCTTCCCTCCAAAGACACCTTCGTCTACAACTCCTTCCTCAAATCCCTCTTCTCCCGTTCCCTCTTCCCCCACGCTCTCACCCTCTTCTCACACATGACACGCGTCTCCAACCTCTCTCCCAACCACTTCACTCTCCCCATCGTTGTCTCCGCCGCTGCGCACCTCTCGCTCCTCCCCCACGGCGCCTCGCTCCATGCCCTCTCCTTCAAAACCGGCCTCTTTCATTCTTCCTCCGCCTCCTTCGTGTCGTTTTACTCGCGCTGTGGTGAGATGGACCTTGCATGCAAGGTGTTTGATGAAATTCCTGTTCAGGATGTGGCTGCTTGGACTGCACTTATCATCGGCCACGTGCAGAATGGGGAGCCGGAGAAGGGTTTGAAGTGTCTACGTGACATGCATGAGGTTGGTGAGGATACTCAAAAGCCCAACGTTAGAACGTGGGAGGGCGGGTTTCTTGCGTGTGGAAATCTGGGAGCTGTGAGAGAAGGCGCTTGCTTGCATGGGGTGGTTATCAAACACGGGGTTGCTTCTTTTCTACAATCTTCCGTTTTGGCTATGTACTCCAAATGTGGGGTCCCTCGAGAAGCGTATCGAGCATTTTTTGAGGCGACTCACAAAGATCTTTTGTCTTGGACATCCATCATCGGGGTTTGTGCGAGGTTTGGGATGATGGAGGAGTGTGTGAAGTTGTATAGAGAAATGCAGGAAAACGAAATACGTCCGGACGGGATTGTTATTGGTTGCATGCTTTCGGTGTTTGGTAATTCCATGCATGTGTCTCAAGGGAAAGCGTTTCATGGAGTGATTATAAGGAGACAGTACGTCGATGCCGAGGAAGTTAATGATTTGCTGTTGTTTATGTACTGTAAGTTTGGAATGTTGAGTTTGGCAGAGAGGATTTTCCCAATGTGTCGCGGGAGCGCAGAGTGCTGGAACTTTATGGTTTTTGGGTATGATAGAATGGGGGAGAGCGTGAAGTGTGTTGAGCTCTTCAGGGAAATGCAATGTGTAGGTATTCGTTCTGATTCAATTGGGGTAGTTTCAACTATTGCCTCGTGTGCTCAGTTGGGAGCAGTTAATTTGGGAAGGTCGATTCATTGCAACGTGATAAAGGGTTTTCTGGATTCTGACATCGCGGTCACCAACTTGCTCGTAGAGATGTATGGAAAATGTGGTAGGATGATCTATGCATCGAGAATATTTAACAGGTCTCAGAGGGATGTTGTGTCGTGGAACACTTTGCTTTCGTCTCATGTTCACATCAAGCAGCATGAAGAGGCTGTAGATTTATTTGATAAAATGGTTAGAGAAGGACAGCAGCCCAATACAGCCACACTTACGGTAGTACTTTCAGCATGTTCTCACCTAGCATCTCTAGAGAAAGGAGAAAGAGTTCACCGCTACATACAAGAAAGTAGTTTTAGAGTCAATTTACCTCTTGGCACAGCGCTGGTTGATATGTATGCTAAATGTGGTCAGTTGCAAAAGTCAAGAATGGTATTTGACTCTATGATGGAGAAGGATGGAATTTGCTGGAATGCAATGATTTAAGGTTATGGAATGAATGGATATGCAGAATCTGCTTTGGAGATATTCCGGCGTATGGAGGAATCAAACGTTATGCCCAACGAAATTACCTTCCTCTGTCTTCTCTCAGCATGTGCCCATGCAGGACTTGCTGAAGAAGGGAAGTACGTGTTCGCGAGAATGCTGAGTTATTCTTTGAATCCCAATTTAAAGCACTACACTTGTATGGTGGATCTTTTGGGAAGGTCAGGTAATCTGCAGGAAGCAAAAGCTATGGTCCTATCTATGCCTATGTCTCCAGACAGCGGTGTCTGGGGAGCTTTGTTAGGTCATTGTAAAACTTACAATCAAGTAGAGATGGGAATAAGTATTGCAACTTATGCTATTAACTCTGAACCAGAAAATGAAGGCTACTATATATTGTTGGCCAATTTGTATAGCTCCATTGGGAGGTGGGAAGAAGCAGAAAATGTGAGAAGGGCAATGAAAGAGAGGTGTTCAACGGGAAAGAAAGCTGCTTGGAGTGTGCTCTGAGATGAAACTTCTCTTCCCTCGAAAATTAAGAAAATGTTAAAGAAAACCATTGGAAGTTTACCAAGGGCCAACTTGCTTAATCTTCTCAAGTTTGCTCATTTTATAAGCCATTCATGAGCTTTGTAGTTGAGTGATTGAGCTAAGGAAGCTGACATATTATTGTCGTATAATACTTTCCGCATTGTATTTGAAACTACACAAAAATAACCCTCTTGATGGAGGCTTTAATTCTGTATATCAGAGGACTTCGTGCCTGAGCTAGCAGTGAGTGAGGCACGTGAGGTTTGGCGGGAGGGAAAGAAGACCCAGTTTCCATACAGGTGGTATTTGATTCGACAATGCACTGTTCGATATGCTTTATTAATTTCATACCTATGCTATTATCCAAAAGTGGGTGTTTCTTTTTTTATTGATTTGTTAAGATATTAATAATTTTTAGAACGAAGTTTTTTCTGGAGCTTCCTCGTGTTGTGCCTAAAAGTTCCAATGGAAATTGTTTTTCAGGACATTAGACGTGCTTCTGAAACCCGATGACCATTTTTTTTCACTTACTTTCTCAGATAGTTAAACACGTGGCAGAAGCGTTGCTGATTGGGGTATCCTTTTACTTTTTCCGTTCGCTATGGGTTTCCGGTAAAGAATTATAAATAACAGGGATCATGTGTTTTGTTTTCTGTTTGTACGTTGTCCATAGTCATAATAGAACTGTGTTGAAATGTTTGACAAGGTTA